TACATTGGTCATGATGGCTCCAAGATTATGGGATTTGTGTTCTTTTAAAAAAAATTAAACCTTTCCCCAGGTCTGCATTTATGAACATGCACACAGCGCAGCAAGTTCTCTCCCAAGAAACTGGAAGCATTAATGAAGGCAACATCATAATCCTTGTGCTGGGGATTCTAGATCACAATTTGCTGGAAGAAAAGAGACGAGAAGAAGTACAGGCTGCTTGCCCACACCTTCTTTTCTAGGAGTAAGGCCATGAAACAATTTGCAACAGGTCTTCCTTCGGAATAATCTGTAGGCATGCAACTGGTCTCTAAACTGGCAGGTATGTGAAGCTTGCAGACTGCATTGCAGAGACCTATTAAATTCTCCTGTTCTTACCTGTATCCTCTTTTATAAGCAAATCAGCATGACAATAACATTCTCTTTTTGGGACACTGGAATGTGTTGGTAACTCAGCATGGCCAGATGGATGTCCCTAGTCCTATTTCAACATGTATTGCATTGCAAGCTTATGCACTGTCCCCATCCCGCCCACGGTGCCCTTCTCAGTTATAAATTACCTTTTGCCTCACATGACGGTCTTGTGATACAAACAGCAGCCCCTTACATGGTAACATAAAAAGCATGAAAGGGTTTCACAGCAGGTATTTTTAGCTGGTCCTTCAATTCTGTTTAGCAGCAGGCCTGGAACATGCCAGGAAACGTAAAGGAGACATGGAAAATTAGTTCAGATATTAGCGGAGTGAAACCCTCATTACTGCAATTAATTGCAGAGCACAAACTCGACAAAAGACATTTGAGTTAGAAGGTGAAATATCACACAAGCACCTGGTAAATAAAAACAGCCAGATCAATTCCTTTTCTTCTTCTCCCCCACCCCCCCACCCCTCCTCTCCCTCTCCAGTGTGAGGTTCAATCCATCACTGAGCACAGGCAAGGCACAATGATTTTCCCCTGGAACTGAGGCACTTATGATAAAATGTTGCCAGCTCCAGCTACATTATTATAAAAACAACATCTAATTCATAGCGATAGAAGGCCAATGCATTTATTAACAGTAAGTCACCCCTGCAGTAAAAATGCATGATAGAATCAGAAAAGTCAGCCAGAAAGATTTCCAGCCCTGGAAATTAATGCTGATTAAATTAAACACCAGACCTATTCCCTGCCAAGGATGTTAGAACAAACTATCATGTTTTCCAGACAGGATTTCAACAGCAAGTCCAAACTTTATACTGGAGCGGGTATTAAAACAGCCAAGGGCAATCACAACGAGCAACAATACTAATGTGCCATCAAGTCAATTCCGACATGGTAATCCTTCTCAAGGTTTCCCAGGTAGAGAGTGCTCAGAGGTAATTTACCATTCCCTTCTTCAGGAGGTGTTCTGGGACTACCATGTAGCTTGCCCAAGGCTACAAAGGCTGGCTCTTGGAGAAGCAAATTTACCTTGGAGAATTCTCCAGCACACTGGAGATTCAAACTCTGAACCTCTGGTTCTGCAGCCAGATAGCTAAGCCACCGAGCTATTCAAGGGATGGAATAACCTGGAGGGGGGGGCACACAATGAGAAAACGCACGGGATGACCTCACAAGGAACAACAGGTATGGCACACGTTGGCCATATCTGTACACCTCTTGGGCTGCTTGGAAGCAGAATGATAAGACAAGGTATACAATGTGCAAATGTACTCATGCACAATGTGGTAGTAAGCAGCAATTCCCTGACTTCCCTAAGGGCGGGAATGTCAAGAACAGCTGCAGATTGCTGCTGAACCTGAACTCAACACAGTCAGCAGGGACATCCACCTCTCAACTCTACCATGCTATCTTTTAAGAGGAAAGGGAAAACACAAAACGTTGGGAATCCAGTTTTCAGCTGTGCAGGCAGGTGGGGGGTGGGTGTATGTGTGTGACTCGTCTGATACTTTTACCATTTTTATTGCCAGATTTTGGCAGTAATAGAACATCTAAATTATACCCTTAGGAGAAAGAGACAGATTTAACAGCCCATGGTTTCCTGGCTCCAGGCCCAGAGTACCTTCCTTTGGCTCAGAGGGCATGGCTCCATCTGTACCAAGGCATCACGCAAAGTAACTGGAGACCTGGCAGGTGCAAAGTCAACTTACAAGGTTTTACAAAATAGACAATAGCTCACTGCCTGGCTCAGGAAAAAAAGCCCCATGAAGCCTGGAATGTATATTTAATGTAGTAGATCTGTACTCCTGGAACCAGAGTGACATTGGGGGGGGATGGACTAGCATGATGCAACTTCTTTTACCCATTTCAAAGACATTAAAACAGACATAAATGTACCATTAATTCATAACATGAAATGGGGGCAGAATAGCAGGCAGGGATTGTACAGTAAGAGGCAGCTGATTCTCCCCTTACTTTGGTTGTGTAAGGGAGCATTTAATATAGGGAGGCGTTCCATAAAGTGACTCATACCACTGTTTAATGGCAAGTGCTGAAGGGCAAAAAGTCTTTGTCCCTAAACCCAGGCACCTGTTTTGATCTATATCAGCAAGCCAGTTCTAACTTTCTGTGTTTGATTATCTGTACACCCACACCCACCCCGCTCCCAATACACATAGGCGATCAAGTAACGCACACAGTGAAATTGTACCTGGACTAGGAAAGCTTATGTCATGACGTATTTGTTCATCTTTAAGCAGTCACAACAGTCTCTAACGTTTTTGTGGTCACAGACTAATACTGCAACCTCTTGGGAATTGTTGTTATAGAATGACACATTTCGTGACTTCCACAGAAAGCAACACTTTCAGAAACTATAGTGAAGTGCATTAATTCTTCTGAGAAGGCACCTCTTGTCAACAAGCTGGTGTCAATACAGTGTATGGAATCCTTTAAGCAGCAACCTGAGTCAATCTGCGCACAGCAAACAATTACTAGTTTCTGTCTCTGGGCCCCTAGAAATCTGCCCAGAATTTCAGCTCAAGATGGTTCTTATATGTGCCATGGAATTATAGTACATAATTTCTAGTTGCTCCCTCTTAACTATACAGATCAGCAACATCTTTAGACAGCACTTGACGTCAAAACATTTTTAAAGACTGGGTTTGTGGGCCAAACCAACCCCACTTGAGTCAGCCAGTTCAAAATACTGCGTAACTGCATTTCAAGAGATCTTCATGTCACTTAGCAACAATGGCTTGGAGGTTTTCCTCTGTAGTGATAATATGAAGCATTTAAAAGGACTTTCCTGAATTTTACAGGAGCAGGAAATGCTCTATACAGGACTTGTACAAACAGGAAAGAAAATCGTTCGGGTGTACAAAATAATTCCAATACAAGTTGAGAACCATTTAAAACAGCAATATACACATGGTTATTTATCCTTTTGTTGGGAATAAAAACTGAAGGCAGTGCCATTAACATCAGGTGTCACTGGCAGGAATCACGTTTGTCTAGGTGTAATGTAACTTTACGCCTGCATAAATCTGCTGGGTCTTATGCCCTGACAACAAAGATTGCACACTTTGATTGTGCAGTCAGTTGCACAGCTCCCATTGCAATCAACTGTGAACAGGACTTCCACCTTTGCATAATTGGACCTACCACGTGCGTAATATCAAGCTACAAATGCGTACTTATGCACTGTGAGTCGAGGCAAAAAAATTTATCTCAAAATTAAACAATATTTAGCACAAATTGACTAAAACACCAGAAAGAAGCCAAAAGCTACATGATTGGCACATGGAAAAAATCTGGCCTCCAAAACAATTTTATTTGGCTTCCACTGGCCTTACCGAAGACAAATCAAAGCTTCGCACTAAAGATTGGCATGAACCTCAGTTCATTGGTTTCTGCTGGTTCACAGGACCAGCATTACAGGTGCAGCGTGTTCCCTTCCCCTACCCCATCTCCATCCGGATCCTCCACTCACCAGCTGGCACGCACCACTCTTCTCTTCTTTGGGCATTTGACCAGACCTGGCAGGAGCACATGCTTCTCTTCTCCACCTCCTCTAGCAGCCCTCACTCAAAGGCAGCACTGCAGGAATCTCTGCCCTGCCTCCTTGACTGAGTGGGCAGCTGCTAGAGGAGGTGGAGGAGGAAAGCATGGCCTCCTTCTGGGACTGGCTGAATGCTAGAAGAGGAGAAGAACAGTGTGGGCTGGCTGGTGAATGGAGGATCTGGCCAGGGGGGCGGGGAAGGGAACGCATGGCACCTGTGGTGCTGGTCTGACAAACGGGCACAAATCTCTGAATTGAGGTTTGTACTCATCTGTACTTCATACATATCTTAGTTTCAGTGGTTAAAGAAAAGAAGCCAGAAAACTCTGGATAGAATCCAGATTCATCATAGTTAGAGAAGCTCCATTATTTCAATGGAATGGAAGTTATGTCAGTTCCAGGTATAACTGGGTTCCATTCCAAAACTGTCTGTAGATTTCATATACAATGATAGCTTAAGGGTCATCAGGCATTATCAACCTGCCCCCCCCCAAAAAAGGAGTCTTTCAGAAAGGATATTAATTTTACCCCTATCTCTCCATAAATTACATAATTACAATTACAACCCACTTAATTCCATATGCTCTACACCTGCAAAATCCTTAGTATTAGATCCTGCCTATACAGCTTGCTCATGTGTGATCGGTTCAGCTGATTTAAGCAAATAGAAATGCCTTAAAGAATTGCACACATTCACTATCCATGACTTGGAGACTATTCTGAAATGTAAAGCAAGTACCATAAACTTGTGAGTAAGGAACTCTCACTCTGCAATACATCATCTATTATTGGTTGGGCAGACCATTTCCATTCACGAAAACAGGACAGCAGAAAGTTTCTGTGCACACCACTGGATCACCGATGTTACCTTCATCGAGAAATACGTGTTGCTGAGCCAGATGTTACTCTCTGGTCAAATCTCAGTGTGAGTGTATTTTCTATTAGTATGCAGAAAACAGGGTGTTTCACTACCAAAGCAGTTTGTCTGCTGCATACTGTATGAGTGAGAATACGGACGCATCAGTACATTGCTAAGAGTTTATTCTGAAGCTTTTGCTTTATGTCTTTATCACAAAAGACAGTTTAAGTTGCAAGAAGTTATTAGAAACTGAGATGGTACCCCCCCTCCCCACCGGTTAAATTTCTACTATTATAAAAGTAGACCACAGGAGACTGTTCTGAGCCATCTTCAAAAAGCGGACCAATCTTTTTTTGTATATAAACTGTACACAACAAAAATCCAAAACAAAAATCAAGGCACTATACATTTTTGGGATATCAAAGATGGATTCAGAGAGTTTCCCAAGAAACCCGTGTGATAATGCTTTGTTCAGTTTAGCACCTGAAGCAGCACTGAGACCAATTCATTGTCTATTAAAAAAAAAAAGAACAATTCAGAATGAGAGAGATAGGAAGAGAGACAGAGAGAGAGAGACTGACAGCTGCGCATGTGCTCATAGGTGGTTTAACGAGCAGCCACACTGCCTGGCCAATTTCCTGAAATGTTTTCTCCACAGAAGTCTCGGAAACAAATAATAAACATTGCATTGTTAAATACATCCTTGTTCTGTGTGTTTTATATATAAATATAAATTCTTTTTGAAAATGCACAGCTTTAACAAAATAACACTTTACAAAGGGAACACCCTAAAAACCCAAATGGCAAGTAGTGTATGTAGGAAAAAGATCCGTTGTGGCAGCAGTCTGAGGTAACTACTGCTAAAAGTACAAAGAACACCATTCACGAGCAGGACCTACCCTTTGAGCCCCACACCCCCCAAAATAAGAGTTTACTGAAAAATTCTCTCATACACTTATAATATTACTTGACTTTAGGGAACAGACAGTCATCTAGTGAATGCAGATAGTTATTTAGTTTGCTTGGCAAAAACAGATGCACACCAGTTTATTGTGGTATTCCTCCTTTTCCAAGGGGTGTTGAAAATGCTGATTGGCCTGGTTCCAAGTTTAGCCCTTGATCGCAACTACTGTGCTATTTAGAAAAGCCCTTTTGCCTTTTTGAGGTTCACCTGTTTCCAGGAAGGCAGTGCATTGTATTCTTCTCTTGTCATCTGTAACGCAGACTGGATTAAAGCAGAGGAAAAGGAGCCAACAGTTATTAAACAGGAGCATTACAACTGTGAAACAAGAGAAAACCAAAGCAATTTAATGTGCTGATACTAGGAGTTATTTCTTTGCATTTACCTCAAAGTCTTCTTCTGAAAGGTAGATTTCAAGATTTAGTGGATCCACTCCTTCAGGGAGAGGTCTCGCTAAGAGATCAGACAGTGGGTACAGCTTTTTGCATAGTTTCGCTAAGACATCTTCAACAAGGATTATTTGATTAGATGCTTCAGCATCCTAGAGACAGCAAATCGAGGAAGCAACAAATAATATTTTAGCTGATGTAGACCATGGCACATTATGGGTAAAATGCATGCAAAAGTCGTCTGCCTAAGGTCAAGGAATAAACCCAATGCTCTTGTGATTCTTCCAATGTCACTACTCTTCTGGGCCAGTGGCCACCATCTTTTCCAAAATCCCCCATGAGACAATGCTTCATTAAGATGAAAACACCCTTCCTAAGGGAACTCTGCAGAGAAAAAAGTGGTGACTGCTAGTTACCAGCAGGGGCAGGGAAAATCTGGCCAGTGGGTCATATGCAACCCCCTAGTGCAGCCCTTCAAACTATCCTCACACCTGGAAAACATCACCCATAAAACTGTTTAATCACACCCTTAGAATCCTCTAGTGGTCACCTTATGTCAATTGGGGCCATTTCTGCCCTTCTGGCCTGTTCTTGGGGCAGAGTGGGTACAGCCTCCCGGCGTCCTGGGTGCACTGGCATGCCCCTGACTGCTGGACATTGCACATCTCTGGAGTACAGCATTACCATGGCCCAAACTCCTATTTGACTAGCTTTGTGTGGAACCAATGGCTAAACTATGATTTCGACCACCTGTGCAAGATTCCTGATTTTGACAGTCTCTCCGCCTACTGCAGCTTTGTGACACCAACTCAAAATATTTGTTAGGTTTCCCAAAATCCTCTGAAGGGGTTTTTCTCAAAGGGAAAGGGGATAAATAGTTAGGAGAAAGTGACAGAAAGACCTGTGGCTGAAACTTATTATTCGTGAAAGCCTTCGCGAATACATTATTATTTTTAGCTTGTATACTGTTGGGATTTGATCCTTTAAAATAAGGGAAAACAGTCTCTACCATGTCACCTCCAGTTTTACCTTAATCTTTGCACTTTCAATGAAAATGTAATGTGTTGTATTTTGAAAAAGAAGCTAGAACTATCACAAATCCCAGATTTTCATGAAAGCAAGAGAGGCATTTTATGAAAGAAATAACACGTAGCCATTACCCCATTACTCTGTCAGCTAAGAGATTTTGCAAATAGGCTGCTTAACTAAAACTCTGTTTTTCAAGCCTTCATACTTTTCTTCGAGTCCTGTCAGAATTCATCTTCTGGCAGTTGTCTCTACTTGACCCTACTCTTGTTCTCCCAATTCTTGAAGCTCGCTATACAGGTTACTCCCCTGGATTTTTGTGCTTCCCAACACAGTGTACCTGCATTTCCAACCATAGATGGAAAATCAACAGAAGTGATGAGCTCATTTCATTTACCATTTCAGTGATCTCAGCAATATCTTCCCTGTGTTCCCAGCTGGGAAACATATTTGTGAACGTCAGGGGCTCAAGACCAGCATGAATTAGGTAAGATTTAGGAGGTTTCTTCACATTCTTTCCTACACAGCCAAAGACAGGAAGAGGAGAAATAAATATGTATGACCTTTCCTCAGACTCCTCTCGTGATTTGCACACAGTTGGGGAAAAAAAAAAACCTTTCCATTAAAAACTTTTCAGAGAAAATACTCATAATAGATACATGTATCACTCAAGACTCTCAGCCAAATTGAATTCTCCTTGGAAGAGATGAGTGTGATGGAAAGCTTGTGGAACACTGTCTTAAGAGTAAAAGATAGAGGAAATGAGTTTAAGAAAAGAGAGGTCCCCACAAGCCTTTGCAGATTGCAGACGACCAGATATGCTAATCCAGCTTCAATTTGCTAATCCTTCATGTCTTGGCCTTGAAAACAAGCTATTATGAGAATACAAGATGTGAAGGTCAGAAAACCTATCCCTCCTTCAAAGCTTCAGTAACAGAATAATGATGAGAATGAGAATCATCCTCACTGTTATTATCGCCATCATCAGTTGATGTGAGCTCATATGACTTTTGGGCTAAATCTGTACTATCAAATTCCATAGAAGCCAAACTGAACCCAGCCATTAGCCGGTATCTAGAGCACATCAGCTGGGGGTCTACTATGATGCTCAGAACTACTTAAAATATTGTTTCCGCAATTATGTTGTACACCAGCTATAGCACTATGGGACAGTATAAAAGTTGAAGCAACAACAGAAGGACGGCTCAGTCTCTTTCTGACTTGCAACATTAAGACCTATTCCTGAAAACCAGTTGTAACTTTGTGTGAGAAGTGCCTGCCAAATCAAATATTCCTTAATTTATTTATTACCTTTACAGTACTGGAGGACAGTTTCCATGGCACATTTCCTGTCTGAAGCCCACCGGATTCGGGCAGAACCTGCAATTTTGTTTTCCACAGGCCACCAGCCTTGCCAGAGGTATACTTCATGGTGATTGTCAACAAGGAAGAGGGCTGCATGGGGTAAAGAAAAGTGTCAAATTGTATTCATAATTCGCAATGCTGGTCATGAGCTATATAAAGCCCCATACCAGAAGTGTATGTTGATCCAATTTATACCCGAATGCTTGCTGTACAGTTTTGAGTGAGCCAACCAATTTGTTCTCAGCTCCACGGAGGCATTTCTATGTTCTAGATTGAAAGGGAGGGGTACTGTGAATGGGGAAAACAAATCACTATGACCTAGGAAGGATGGAGCTATGCAACACCATTAATTTTGGGGATATGGTGGATATTCCATGTATAAGAAAAGTGTCTACCATCTTCCTTCCTCAACAATTAGCTGCAATTAGCTGTGGCATGTTACGCAAACCTTATGCCCACACTAGTGGTGTATAGATCTGGGTTTTTGGACTACAACTCACAGAATTCCCCAGGCAGCATCAGATATGGGGAATTCTGGGAATTATAGTCCCAAAACACAAATCCATACACCTCTAGTGAACATCAACAGGATTCTGGCCAGCATCTCCAAATACACAGGGTGCTCAAGTCCTACACAGGTCCTGTTTGGGGTATTCTGTTTTGCAGCGGAAACCTTTTCTCCCCCCCTTCATTAATGAAATTAATGAAATAAATAAAAAAATCCTAAATGAACTGGGAATTTCAGAAGCAGAACTTCACCTGGTTAGCAATATTTTACATTCCTCTTTTCACTTACCTGGCTGAGGTGCTGTGTAGAGGTCTTCTTGTAGAAATGGCATAGAATTCACCACAGAAGGATCTCTTGCGGGATAGACATATTCAGTGGCTGAGAATTCTCCTGATGAACTACTGAGGATGAAGAGGCGAGGTGTGAAATTAAACTTCCCAGGATCTTTTAAAAAAGAATGAGAGAGAGAGAGAGAAAGGGTGGGAGGGAGAGGAATTCCATCAGTATTTGAGAAACTACAAATATTTCAGACTTTGTGTTTTTCTTTCCTTCTGTAAGTCTGAAGCATAATAATTAACTGCAATACAACACTGTGTTACCTATGATGGCTAAAGAGAATAAATACCAGCTGACATTCCATGTTGATTCTTGGGAACAGACAACCCAGCCTGACCCACTTCATGCTTTTTTTCTTGCCAAGGAATTAATGTTATCAGGCAGCTTTCCCAAGGTTTTACATCAGATATGGGCATGGCCTTCCAGATGCGGGTGGACTGTAATTCCTATCAACTCTAACCTGCGTAGCCATGATGAAGAATGTTATGAGTTGCAGTCCAACAACTTCCTTCACCCATTTATCTTACTGGATCCTTTTAAAGCTCACATTTACAGCTATAGGGTAGTTAACAAAGCATGGCAGGAAAACCAAGCAATACCATACCTTGCAACATACAGTCATAAGCTTTCCGGTCTCTCCTTCCTAAAGCATCCCAAAATCCCAAAGCTTCCGACCCTTCATCACATTCATGTATCGTCACTTTGCTACTACTATGCAATCCTGCTTCCAAGGGACATCTGGAAAACAATATGCCAATATCACCTTTAGTGTCACTATCACATTGCAGGGCAATAACACCTGCCTAACATGTAACAAGTACTTCTGATTTTTCTCATTTTTGATGAAAAAGATTTTTTTTGATATACCACCTCTTTGCTGAAAAGACGGTCAATTGATGTTATTTTTTTCTTTTTCTTTTTTGCTTATACATAAAAGAAAAAAGACCAAGGCTTTTTCTTATCAGCAAAATCCCACATAGGAAACTTGCATTTTGCACCATTCAAGTTTTTTGGAGTATGTGCAAAAAACTGCAACTATACATTTCATGCCAAAGCAAACAAAAAACCCCAAAAAAGTCCAAATGCATAAAAACTCCAGTACTCTTGCCCAGAAAGGGAAAAAGTGGGGGTTTTTTGTTCCTACCTGCAAGAACAAAATAAGCAAAGATCTACTATGCAGCATCAAAAACCTGCCCACCACTGATTTGCCAAATAGATATGCTGCAGAGAAGAAGAAAGCCAGCTAACAGATGCTTGCTTAACTACCTCGTTTCCATTTCCTAAATCAACCATTTGTTTGTCCCAGCTTGTGGACCCATTAAATCAGTTGCTAAAAGAAAAGTCAAGATTTAAATCCCGCTGATTTCATGGGGTCTGCTCTAGTTTGGATCAGTAACTTGATTTAGGCTGGATTCAGTAATGTCTTCCCAATATAGGACTTGGAAAACAGAACTTGGAAGTAACAAGTTAAAATAATGTAATTTGCACACAACTATATACATTTTTTTTGGTAAATGAGAGTGTGATGAAGTTTCATTTCAAAACTAATGTAATGGGTAGGAATAAAGTAACTTCTTAAGTATAACAAGTAATGTTTCCAGTTCTTTTCAAAAATTATTTCAAAATGCATGTTAAGGCATGTTTGGGGCCACTTCACAGGAATTTTCAGATTTTATATCATTCTTTTATCATCCCATATTTTTAAAAAAGAAAGTAATGAAAAAGTAATGAACTGTGCACTAAACACTTCACAGGAATTTTCAGATTTTATATCATTCTTTTATCATCCTATATTTTAAAAAAAGAAATGAAAAAGTAATGAACTGTGCACTAAACAGTACAGTGAGTTACAAGTAGAAGGGCTTTGGAACATGTAACAACACAAGTTATTTTCAAATGCTGCAACTAATAACAGGTAGAAATCACCTTTGGAAAGTAACTTTCCAAAATGTTACTTTTTGGATTATAGACCCCCAAAATCTCTCCGTTAAGAACAAGGGAACTACCATGCTGATGGGAATGCGAAGGCTGGCTCTTCCATCAGCTAGCCTCCGACTTCCCACAGCAGATAGAAATCACCTTTGGAAAGTAACTTTCTATGTTGTTTTGAAATGTTACTTTTTGGATTATAGACCCCAAAATCTCTCCGTTAAGAACATCAGCTAGCCTCCGACTTCCCACAGCAGCGACCCAGGAGTCTTTGAGAACCTGTAAGCAAGGGGGAAACCAACTACTTTCTCCTGCCTTTGTATCCCTGCAGCTAGAAATCAGTGCAATGGGCTGTATGAAGGCAATGCACTGGAACAGTTGAAGTGTTAGGTTATGTCTCAGAAGGCGTAGGTTCAAATTCCCCCTCAATCACAAACAGAACAATCCTTGAGCCAACCATTACCATCCAGCCGTTCCAAACAGCAGGGTTGCTGTAAGTATAACACCAAAAGGAGAACTATGTATGTCTCCTTGAATGAAAGGCAGGATGTAAAGGCCACTTCTGTCAGAGGAGGGCAAATGTCTGACTTATGAGATCTATTTTATTATTCACAGTGAGATCTATTTATTGAAGTCTGGTACAAATGCATGCACTTTGAATGAAAGTCTTTCAAACCCAGGAATTTGTGTTAAGTCCTGCAGCTGAATGATGCTCAAAGCCCTTCCCCTTGTAACTCCTTTGATGGTCTCCTCAAATTTTCTTCATCTCAGCAATACAAATTATTATAATGTTATATTATAAGGGGAATGTGTATTCATTGAAATATACTCATTTCCCCTCCCGTGATGGGATTTCTTGAGAGGCATGGCTCAGCAACAAATCTGCAGAGCAACCTTGTGTTTACCTCCCAATGACCAATCACAGAACAACACATGCTAAATGCAAGATACATAGGTCAGGAAAGTGCTATAAGAAACAGATGTCTTCCATTACTTCTGGAAGAGCATCTCTTCTACCACAGTACTGAATACGTCTATTTTCACTCTCAGAAAAATTGGGCACCAATGTGCTGCTAAACATACACATCCCCTACTAATAAGTCCTGCTCAACCTTCTGTCTACTTCTCATTCAGAAGACTAATTAAATGGTTTTATCATTCTGTTTTTAAATATTAAAACAATACTCCCCCTTTTAAAAAAAACAACAACCCTATATATATATAGCTTTTGGATAGATTTATGTCTTGAACAGATTTCCCCCCACATAAAACAAACAAATACTAAAATAATTTTAAGCAGGATTTTTATTTTGGTCCTAATCAATCTCCTTCCATCATCACAGCTTTTGAGTAAGATTCTATAGAAATCATACATCTACACGAGAATGGCTTTGCTACTTACTGTTCTTTTATTTTATTGGCTGCTGTTCTTCCTACTTCCTTGGTGTGTGGCTGGGCCTTGCAGCCATGCCACAAGTAGATGAGGGCTTTGTTAATGTTGAGGACGATCATTGAGGTTCTGGACCGCAGGCTGCTACAGTGACAGGCTACTTCCAGCAAGTTCCCTTCCACAGGAACTTCCCCTCGTACGCAGTACAGCCGCCAGTCACCTGCAGTTGGCATTGACAACACAGTACTGTAAAGTGCCAAGGCCAGTAATCTTCACCAATGATAATTCGGATGGCTTGAGATCCTTGACCACTATGTTCACTGATTTCCCACCATCTGTAGTCTACACCTTGATTGTTTTATCATTACAAGTATGAATAAATCATCATGATCAGCTCATATCCCACACTCTCTTTTCCCCAGAGACAGCCACTTTGGTGGGATTAATGGCTTGGATTGAGCTGATAACACCAATCAGAGCACAGTCACATCAAAGGGATTTATTTAAGTGTCGAGTCACCTTTCCATGGGTCTACACTTGGGACTACCAACTGACTTTAGCCCTTAGAACAGCACTTGTCAACCTTGGGTCCCCAGACATTCTTGGATTGCGGCTCCCAGAGACCCTTACCAGGATAGCTAGTGGTTGAAGGCTTCTGGGATTTACAGTCCAACAATGCCTGGGGCCCCTTAGTTGGGAGCCACTGTAATAAAGTAGTGCTCAAAGCAGAATTTGTTTCTAAGGATAAATTGCAAGGCTAATTTTTCCTGTTTAATCTGGGGAGAGCCAGAGTACCATATTTGCTGGTGTACAAGATGACTTTTTGGCCCAAAAAACATGCCTCCAAGTGGGGGGGTTGTCTTGTATGCCGGGTGCACTTCATTTGGGCCAGGAAGGAGCTGCTGCCGGGGAGGAAGGCAGGCAGGCAGGCAGGCAGTCGGTCGGGATGGAGGCAGTCGCTTGCCCACCACTCGCCCGCTTCCCCTCTTCCTCCTCCTCCTCCTCCTCCTCCTCCCACCGCCCACCCAGCCTCTTCTCCTCTTCCTCACCCTCCCGCTGCTTGAGTCAGCTGGCATGCACGTGCTCTCCCCCTCTTCCTCACCCTCCTCCCTGCCGGCCATGAACTTCCAGGGTGGGCCCCGGCAGAGCCCCGGGCAGCCACTGCTGGTGCCGCAGCAGAGCTCTCCACTCTATATTTTGAGTGGAAATGTTGGGGGGTCGTCTTATACGGCCAGTCGCCTTGTACAGTGGCAAATACGGTAAGTCAGAAAACGATGCACACCAACTTCTCCAGCAGTAGCTATTCTGGTTGGCCATATACAATGGAGGGTTGAGAAAGCAAAGCCTACTCCAATGGCTTGACTGGGACCAAATGGTAATTGGCTCCTTCCCTCCTAGAATTGCCTTGTCAACAGCCTTTCTACCTGTTCATTAAAAAAAAAGTGGAATCTGAGTTTGATTAGCTTCCTAATCTTCATTCCCTGTTTTTTGCTTCCTTTTTCAGATGGAAAGTAATTATTTTAAACTCAAAACTGCTGAATGCTTTGGAAGAAAGGCTGGATTATAAAAGTAATCAATACATAATTATTTTATCCCATTAAATGCTAAGTGACTAGTTATTTCCAGATGGAAGTATCATGGCTGGTCTTCTGTGGAGATGGGATTCCTAAGCCTCATACCATATCCCACTAAAATGTGGCCTGGCTTTATCTACTCCTTTAGAGAGGAAGGAAGCTTTGCACATGATCACATAAACTTGCTTCACTACAACTGTGTCATCTCCCCAAGGTGGCCGGGATTCAAAACAAGAACTGATCAAATCTTGGTGTAAAATATCTCATAGTTCAAGCTACCCTCCACTTTAAAACTAGCAGAAAAATGTAAGAAAAAGTTGTTTTACTCTGAGTATTTTCTTCTTCCTCTTCTCTTCTCCCAGAATGAACAATCATTCCACCTTGAAAACACTGCAGAAAACAGGGAGGCTCTTTCCCTTGAAGGACTTGCACCTGAAAAATTATTTAAGAATCACAATGAATTAAGTTTTGTGTAAGGCTACAAGAGACCCTATTTTACAGAGCTGTGATCAATCCCCACTTCTGTTGCTTTCAGGAACGGTGTGAAGACATATTTTTTAAAAAACGAACTAATATTTATTGTGATGATTTTAACTATCTTACTGATTAGCCTAAGACCATGATTTATTTATAGACCATGATTTCAACAGTTGTATAATTCAATCACCTTCCTGCTTTATTTTGTTCTATGGTGTGATCAGTCACCTTTTGTAACAAATTAAAAAAAGTAGAATTAAATTTTGATTGGTAAAAGCTAGAAACACTTTCCCCCTTTCAATGTAGCAGCATTCCAAGGCTGTACCGAAACCTGAAGATTCTGATACGCTTTCCTCACCTGAGCCCCTCGTTCTTCATCCAGCTCCACTGTCATCAAGGCAGAAGTTCCCTTCTCACTGACAGTCGAATGCCTCCCTTGCCAGAAGAAGTACACACATTTCTCTTTGCCAACAACTCGGGTTTGTAAATCTCCCTTTTGTCTGCTTCCAACTGCAAAGCCAAACCAAAGCAATCTCAGACCTTGGACTAAGCTAACAAACATTAGTTTAAAGAAGGGTAAAGTGTTCTTACAAAGAACTGGTGATGTGGTAGGCAAAAATACCTGCAGGCCAACCTCTACAGACTGACTAGCAGTGTATACTTACAAAAACAAAACAAAGCAAAACCACCATAGTCACACCAGAAAAGAAAGCAAGTAGCATTGTTTGAAGCAAATGAAGATGCTGGAGCACATCTATGGCATTATAGATCCTTATCATGCTACCCCATTGAACTAATTGTTCTATGTTATTTTCCAATTCAAGTTACACCCAACTTTGAAAGCTTTAATCACATTTTTATGGTGAACACCCAACACTGCTGAATAATAATGGAAAGAGCTATGGATTGACAGCGAAAGGTGCATGGAAAATAACTTGCATGAGTAAAAATTCTATTAAATAGGAAATGTTTTAAAAATGCAAAAGCAAGTACATTAAATCGCTGAGACATTGTTACAGCCAGAAATGGCCTCTGACTTCTTTTTGTGTTTGAGGTACCCAAGTCAGTGGTGCAAATGAAGCTAAAGTGATTCCAATTGTTCTTTTTGAAAATTAAATATTATTTTAAGATAAATTCAGTAGTTAATCCCAGCTAGAGCAGACCCACTGGATCAATGGGGTTTGCCTAAATGTTGACTTGGCAAGTTCCATTTGTGCAGGACATGCATTCTAAATAACAAACAAGAAAATATAATTCTTTAAGGTTACGCTGAATGAACAGACACTACACTCGATCTTAGCCTTAAGAGGCTGAGAAACAATACACTGAATCAAACAGCGGATACATAGCTTATTTTCTCAAATTGTGTGGTGCCATAAGAAAAAAAAAGGTATTTATATTCACGTCATGCTTACCCTGTTTTCCCGAAAATAAGACCTACATTCACGTCATGCCTACCCTGTTTTCCCGAAAATAAGCCCTAACCTGAAAATAAGCCCTAGTACAATTTTTCAAGATGCTTGTAATATAAGCCCTACCCTAAAAATAAGCCCCAGTTAAATGAAACCCCGCCCTCCACCCTTGTGCAGCAACCAGAAGAAGATGACATAACTGTATCTGAATAAATGTAGATTGTTGTACATGAAAAAAATTAACCATCCCCTGAAAATAATCCCTAACGTGTTTTCTGGAGCAAAAATTAATATAAGACCCTGTCTTATTTTCGGGGAAACAGAGTACATGTAAGATAGCTTCTAGCGATTAATGTACTAACAATAAAAATCAATTGCTGATGTGTCTGAATAGTTAAGTACATCATAAGCGCACAGATCAGTGTTACTGATTCAAATATATCAATAGATGGGATTCTGGCTCTTCACTAACCTGAAGTGCTCACCAGATACTTCCATTTGACAACATACGTATCCCCTTCATGAAACTGCCCAATGCTTTGCTTAGGGAGCCTGCTGTAATCAAATTCTAAGATATGCCAGACATCCACAGAGACAGTGATAATTTCAAATTGTCTTCCGTCATCTCCTTCAATTAATCCATAGCCACGGCCAATATTCATCCCATCCAAAACTGTGCCAACTGTTGTTTCCGGTAGTGGTACCATTCGCATGATATCATACGGTTTAGCCTCAGACTTGGTTTCTTCCTGTAATGAAATACAGAAGTTTTAGGAAGCCCCTGAAATATAGAATGATATAAGCCAGAACTCTTATTGTTACAGGGAGGATTTCTATGACATTTCACATTTTCTCTGCAACCTATGTTTGAACCCACAAGCCAGTTCAAACATGTTTATGAGTAATCAGACTTTTATTACCAGATTACTCATAAACATGGTCAAACTCACCCAGAAGCTCAAACATAGGTTGCAGGAAAAAAATATGACACGTCGCAGAAATCCTCCCCCTACTTATCATCTGTAGAATCTTACAGATGACCACTGACAATTCACTTTGGTTGTTAGTTACAAACAAACTGTTCAAAGCCTTAGAGAGGAAACTACAGCGGTGCCTCGCTAGACAGTTAACCCGCATGACAGTTTTTTCGCTAGACATTGACTTTTTGCGATCGCTATAGCGATTCGTAAAACAGTGATTCCTAAGGGGGAATTTCACTGGACAATGTTTGGTCCCTGTTTTGCAAACCAATTTTCGCTAGACGACGATTTTGACAGCTCCCTCCACGCTTGCAAAACGGGTGTTTTTGGGACCTAAGCTTCTCAAGACAGCTATTTAAACAGCTGATCAGCGGTTCGCAAAGCAGCTTTCCTTCGCTAGACAATGACGATTCTTCCCCATTGGAATGCATTAAACAGGTTTCAATGCATTGCAATGGGGAAATGCTTTTCGCTAGACAATGATTTCGCTACACAGCGATTTCAGTGGAACGGATTATCATCGTCTAGCGAGGCACCACTGTAGAGAATGCTCTGCATCATGTTTGCAGTGATGAAAACACAGCCTTGTACATTAATGTTTCTCTCTCTTTTACAGTCTTCAAGGAACCATAAGAAACTCTAGGATCACTGAGTCATTTAAATATTGAAAGCCAATGGTCAACAGGGATTACACACAAATCTTGAATTTAATTCCCTACACGTGAAGTCAACAGATAAGCTCATGTGGAAATCAGTCTCACAGGCATGATTTTTCAGTAAAATGAGCATAAAATGATTTATTTTTTAAAAGGGTTTGCTTTGTACAGCAATATTTATTCATTTAAAATACTTCTACCCCGTTTTTCTCCTTAAAGAGGACCAAAGGTGGCTTGCATCATTAAAAGACAAAATTGTATACGATGCATTTATAGCTCAGAATCTACAATGCATTATCAACATTAACATAAACTACTCTAAGTAAGTAAATAAGCCAGTTACCTTCTGAGGGGATTCACTGGCGTTTTTCTCAGCAGGTTTCTTCAGCTCAGTCCAATCAAGGAATTTTTCTTTAAATAGTATTGTCTCATTATGCTCTGTAAGCCTGCCAAAAATAGCCCAGTCTGGTCGTCCTTGTCCCTTTCTGTTATAAAAAAGGAAGACAGAGAATGCTCTGATATCAGGTAGCATTTTATTCTATAAAACAAGAGGCAACAGAAATGGAAAAACCTCTCCACTACCCCCTTGGTAGACTTCTAATTCAACTGATGAAAGTCATAATTCTTTACTTTTGAAAATTATAAGAACTTCAGATTCTGTAAATTAAACAAAAAAGCAAAAAATAAACACCTACACTTCAGATTCAGATTGGGTGCAAGATTGTAAAAGTGAGTCAAGAACTCATACAATATGACTAAATTTTATAGAATTGGATGCAAGCACATTTCAAGTAATTTGAAAAATAAGACAAACATTTATTTTTTCTAACATTTCCCATCTTCCTGGCATCAGCTTTTACGTTTCACAACGACGACCAAAGTAAAAACAGAAGGCATATTTTCCTTCCAGGAAACACATGAGAATCAGCAGTTAAGACAAACTTTTAGTACACAAACAAATCTTTTAATTCTCAACAAGGTTTGTTATGGAGTAATCCATATGGAAAGCAAATTCACCCTAGTAAGCTCTGATACCTTGGAATAAGGGGGTTGCATTCGCCAGGATCCAGTGGATTGATGTCACAGTTGGCATAGTCAAACGTACCATTCCACAAGTGTTTGGCCAGCTGGAACGCCACTTTTCTTTGCGGTAGTGTGACTTCCTTCCCATGCCAAACATAGACTTCACTACCAAAATCGAACACCAAGACCTGAAGATAAAAGAAGGGATAAGAGAACATTTAGCAATACGAAAGAGCGGTTGGAAGAAGGGCCATCAAGTCCCACCCCTTGCTCAATGCAGGAATCCAAATCAAAACCATTTGTACGAAGTCCTTAACACACAAACTGGTTATCTTTGCATTGTTATTAAATATGCTGCATTTGTAATGTAACTTTTTTTTAAATTAAGTTTGCACCGAAATCAAACCAAATCCAAATTCAACATGAAAAGCCAAATATATTTGTAAATGGGTATTAAAAAGTTAACAAGCAAGGTTTAGAAAAAAGAAACTCTAGTGTCTAGGCCTACCACTTCAGTCTTTATTACAAGACTGAAGTGGTAGGCCTAACTGAGATTGTGCCAAATCTACTATACTAGCAAAATCAAGCCAATTAATCAGTATTAGAAAAAAGTAGGATGCATCCAAGGCCATTTCTTCTCAAATGAATTCTAAGGAGAAATTTACCCAGGACATGAAAATGCAGTGTATGTGTTCCTGC